ACCAAGCTTGCATCGCAAGAAGGCGGTTCAAGTATACAAAATCGGCCGGCGTCCAGTGTGCCTCTCATAGCCCAGTGGTTCCGCTGCTGGGCAGGGTGACGCAGACTCCTGAGTACCAGTAGCATGGCCCCTGAGTGGGAAGGGGGCCGGGAACGAAACCCGACTACTGGGAAAGGTGGCAGCCTGGCCTACTATGAGAGGACTCCTCCACATCACAGATGACGTGACCAATGACGGGGCCACTGCGGTTTAACTCTGAGGTTGCTCCTGTGATGAGATGGGGGAACCACTGGTCCACCAAGCCAGCGGGGAAGAGGGCCGGTTCGCCGGGGTGCCCTCTTTCGCTGAAATTTTCTTTATAGTGTTGATTTTACTTCTGTTACTCTGAATACATTTTGTGTTAAAATGCCTTTGGATTGTCCTGCATCCGTCTTGATTGACATGAGAGTGAGCCGCGGGTGTTTAGATCAATTGAGCGCCGCGAGTTGCTCTCAGCTGCCCCCCGGGTGGAAGGATCTTTAGTTAAACTGTAGTTTAAACTACAGTCCCAAAAACTGCAGTTCCCAAACTAAAGTTAGTTTTAAAAAGAAACTGAAGACTAAATACAATTCCACTTTGCAGTTGAAATTGTAGTTTTCTGTCGTTCACATGTATTTTAGTGTTGATTTGAAGTTCAGTTGGAGGTTCAGTTTAAGTTTCAGTTACAATTTACTTAAAATCCATTTCTGGAAGTAAAACGACTGCTGAAAAAAAATATTCAAAAACTGTCTCTCATCTAGAAATTTTTCCGTACTTAGTATGTATTTTAAACAATTCTCTTATCGACATACTAACGTTATAGTTATGTCTCAAAACTAGTACGTTTCCATACTTCTTATGCAATTTCTAGTTGTATCAAGTAAAATTTACATACCACTAGGGGAACTCAGAATTACAGTGGCTGCTTCATTGCTTTTAAAGCATTTTGAGGTTTACGATGAATTTTTTGTCGTCCCCTTTAAAAAAAGTATCAGGTTAAAACCAAACGTTTAAGTTTATACCTAATACAGTTGGCTTTACTTTAAATGGTATAGTTGTTCGCTGTTTAAAAATTTATGCAAGTTTCCTTTTTTTTTAAGTTAGCCTCCCTAAAGAGACAAAGTAACCCAAGTCTGCGACAAGTTTACGTAAACTGACTTGTCGCAAAGGTCCAAAATTTTGCGCTTACATTTTTATACTGACATTAAACTTTAAAAATTTGGTCATAAAATGCAATTTTGTCATGAAGAGGACTACAACTTTACATAGGTTACTCTAAAATTGCTTGTATTTTAAAAAGATGTAGAAAAATTCTTAGTTTGAATTTTTTTTTTTTTAAATCTAAATCAAAGTAATTCTGTTAGTCCTTCATATATCCTTTTAAAAAAATAATATTCATGCTAGTAGTATTAAATAACTTTCGTTAGTGCAGTTGGAGCAAAAAATTGACTACCGCAAAAATGGACACTTGTGCATCATCCGCTAGGGGGCGCTAGTGTCGCATCATTTACGTCTTCGAGTTAAAAGTGTTCTTGCAGCCGATCAGAGGAATATTTTTGGATCAAACTCTGTGCAGGGCAAATATTTGAGATGCTAGACTCTACCAAAAAAGGATTGACCTCGATAGGTGGAATATTAGGGAAATAACATTGAGTACAACTTTCCTCTCGCGTACGGCTACGGGTCGTCTTTTGGGTTGGCTCCGATCGCTGTCCCCAAGTGCATCAGTCCTCGATGCGTAGTGTGTATATTTTATACGAGTGATCATCTCCGAAAGGACGGACTCCCCCACTAACACCTAAGGTTGAAAACCTAAGGTGGCAACTTGATTACAGGGCTGAGGCTCGATTTTGAATTTTCACTCTCTTTTCGGAAACTAACCCTCACTACTTTTTTTCTAGTTATTTCAAATGGGTTTTAAGTTGTTCGAAAATAAAGGGTTTAACTGCAGTTTGACTGCAGTTTAACTAGCACGAGAATGAGGGAGAAACTTAGTTGTTCCAAATAACTGGTAGTTTTTTCATATTAAATGCAGTTTTACTGCATTGACTACAGTTTTAAATACAATTTTTTTTTTCTTAAAAATTACTTTTAACTTCTTTATTTTTAAATTTTTTTTACTTAAAAAAATACATTTTACAAAAAAAAAAATCCTGTTTTTTCTTTTAAATTTTAACTGCAGATCCTTCCCCCGGGGAGCCTGACCGCGTGGCGGTGTAAGTGGGGCGGACAAAAAGGAGGTCGGACAAAATTTTCAGCCGATTCACGGGCAAGTGAAATTTGGACAGGGTGGGTTGGACGTCGGACAAACGATTGTGCACCGTGGCCGCCCCCTTTGTCCATCCTGACGACCAATCTGTCACTGACGTCGTGGAATATTTCTACTCTTCCCCTCCCTCTTTCCTGAAAAGTGATCGGACAAACGTCGGTCGGACAAACGTCGGTCGGAAAAACGTCGGTCGGACAAAAATTTAAGGGAAAAGGAGGTCGGACAAATTTCGGCAGGTCGGACAAACGTCGGTCAGACAAACGATGTAGACCCCGACTCTCGGAATAGGGTACTTTCGTAGAATCCTGAACCGGAAGCAAGCAGACCAGCAGACGCCGAATTGGCCGGAAACTAACCTCTCTTCGGATCCAAAACTATAGCCGAGCTGTACAAATATTGCTCGCGAAACACATATGCACTGCAAACAAGTATCAAACGACTGTTTATGTTCAAGTGTGGCCGATACCTTTGACGAACGTCTCTTTCCCATGTCAAGTTTGGATCTACTTCCGCCAACATGGCGTCTGTGTGCTTCCGGTTCAGGGATCTACGAAAGTACCCTATCAGTGTGCCGGCTTCGCCAGGCCTTGCCGGGCTTGGCACTCCGAGAGGCGAGCGCTTCCGGCCTCGAGTCGCGCAAAGAGTGGCAAAGAGCCGCTGTCTGTCAGGGGGGCGTAAAAGCACACGGCCGAACCGACAGTGTCACGAGGCCTTGAGGGGTTCTACGCGAAGACAGTGCCACCGTAAACTTACTTTCTGGGGAGGAGCAGCAGACTGATTCCGAGAGTCGTTTTCACCGCTGTGTCTCTCTCGCACATATGGGGCGTCCTGTGTAGGTACAAGAGAGACAGAGTGACGAAAGCGACTCTCGGAATCAGTCTGCGGTGCACGGCTGAACTGCGCCAACAAAAAGACCGATATTCGTAAAACACCTTCTGCCTCAACCTGCCTCTGTTGTTGTCCATCGGTTTTCAGTGCGTCGCCAAACGACGCGCCACGCTCCACTACGGATCGGCGCCCAACCGCCTTGCCAGTGGAGTCACCCCTTGCGGGGCCGTGCGGGTGTCGAGAACTGTCCAGGGAAGTTGTGACAAGATCCCAGACCCGAGCGAGCCACCCCACCGGCTTTCCTGCCTGCCTGCCTGCCTGCCTGCCTGCCTGCCTGGCCCGAGTCGTACTTGAAAAGTCAACAAGTGAAAGTGCCGGGGCATGCCGCGACCCGCGAGCCATGTTGTCTCAAACCGGGTCACCCCGCGAGAGCGCGAGAGCCAAGGGCGCTGGCAACCGCAGCCCCCCCCCCCCCCCCGGTGGATTCCTTCCCCGCCACCCCCGGCTATCCCGGCCCGCGCTGAGAAGAGAGAGACAAAGATAGAGAGAGACAGAGCGACGGCACAGGATGTTGACGGCACGCCGCGGTGTTGGCTATTTCTGCAAGTCTCGCTCTCGCGCCTCGCGCCCTTAGGGATCCGAACATCCGAAGCGAACCGCCACTGTCGAAGTGGCCGAAGTGGACCGCCGGCAGAGGCCAGCACCGTCCGGCCCGCCCCTGCACAGTGGGCCAGAAGACCGGCGTGGCGGCGGTCAAAATGCCGGACCCGTTTTGAGCTCCAGAGTCCCTAACTGGGACTCGAACCGAACGTGGTGACCCCAACAATGCATTGGCCGGATTGCAATGGATTGCTCTACGAAAGAGGAATCCATTGGTGGGGTCACACGTTCGGTTCGAGTCCGGTTTAGCGACTGTGTCCAGCCGTGTTGTCCGCCGTCAAGGCCGTCCCGATCGTCTTCCTCAAGGCGCCGCACCTTGCCGCCTGGCCGCCTCGGCTGCTCCCCCTGCACAGCCGATGTTTTGACGGATTGTCACCCTCTCTATCTCTGTCTCTGTCTGTCTGTCTGTCTGTCTGTCTGTCTGTCTGTCTGTCTGTCTGTCTGTCTGTCTGTCTCAGTCTCTGTCTGTCTGTCTCTGTCTCTGTCTCTCTCTCTCTCTCTATCTCTCTCTCTCTCTCTCTCTCTCTCTCTCTCTCTCTCTCTCACACACACACCCTCTCTCTCTCTCTGTCTCCCCCCGGCCTGCCCAGCAGACTGATTCCGAAGAGTCACTTCGCCGCTCTGTCTCTCTCGCACTCATGGGGCGTCCGCTGGGGTGTGAGGGAGACAGAGCGACGACCCGGCCCCTCGGAATGGGTCAGCTGCCCGCCCCTGCCCAGGCGACGCTACGGCGGCGTCCCCGATGACGGCGGCCCCAGAGGACGGCGTCGACGGCGCCGCGGCTCGAGGCGCGGCCGCGGCGCCCGAAGGGAGGCCGCCGACGACGCCCTCCCTCCCCTCCGCCGGGGTCCTGGCCGTCCCGGTGGCCGCGGGACGCAGGGCGACGCAGGGCGACGCAGGGCGACGCAGGGCGACGCAGGGCGACGCAGGGCGCGGCGCCCCTCGCCTGTTGCGGCGGGCCATTTTTGGATCCGCCTCCCTCTCCCGGTGCTCTCGTCGGCGCGGCGTCGGAGGGGCCCCTCTTGGCCTGCTGCTCGCGCTGCAGCCGCATCGGCCGCGGCTGCGTCTCGGCTGCTACTGCTGCAGCAGCCGCCACTCCCCGAGGCGAACAGCAGCCGAGGGGGTTCATGGGGCCCAACATGTGGGCGGGTCCCACGTTAACCCTAGGATCCCCTTACCCCCCTCGAGCCCTGCCCCGCCCCCCGCGGCCCCCCCGGCCCCCGCAAGCCCCCCGCGAGCCGGGAGCCGCGAGCCTGGCCGCCGACGTCCGCGCTGAGTCGAGAGCTTGCCGTCGCGGTTAAGCATACCCCCGTCGACTCCGTCAAGCATCCGCAGGTAGGGCTGAAGCGGCTGAAGCGCCCGAGCCCAGCCAGCGACCGCGCTGTGTGTGTGTGCGTGAGTGCGCGGCGTGTCTGTGTGCGCCAAGTGAAGTGCCCGTAAGTGAATCAAGCCCATCTTCTCCTCCTCCGGCGAGTGCCGGAGCCGCGGCGCGCCGGCAAGGCCGCCCCGCCCCGCCGCACCCCGCGCCGCCCCGCCCCGCCCCGCCCCGCGCCAAGTGCAGCCAAGCGGCCAGCAGGCCCCGCGTCGACGACCACTGGAGCGACGGCACGGACACCACCGAGTCTGACGGCCCGACGACCAGACAGCCAGACGACTATTGACGGCACCAGGACGCTTTGACAGCAGTGACAAGTCGAAGTCGAAGAGCAGCAACAGCCCCCCGACGGCCAGCTGGCCCCGCCCCACCCTCAGTACAGTGCAGTGCACCTCAGTGGATTAAGTGGTTCGAGTGGATTAACCGGATTAAGTGGATTAAGTGCCTCTGCCTGGAGGTAAGTCCTCGACGAGCAGTGCAGCCACAGGGCCGCCGCGGCTCCAGTGACAGTGGAGGGGTCGCGAGGGACGCGTCCGGGACGTCACCTTGCCGTCGTCGGCGTCGTCCGCGTCACTCGGCGGGGCGCGGCCGAGGCGGCCCTTCGCCTATTTTGAGGTTAGGCGGTGACGCAACGCATCGGCAGTGCGGCGGCAGTGTGGTGGCAGGGCCTTTGGCCGTCCTTTGGGCCGTTGGGCCTTTAGCCGGGCGCATCGTCTCGACTCGCATTTAGAACGGCTGCGTCCGAGGGTGCGCGCGCCGCCCCGCTGCCGCCCTGCCGCCACGCCGGCTGCGTTCGAACGGCCAGCCCGGCCGCGACCGGGGCGCCACCTAGCGGTGGGTGGCGGCCGCCAGGCGCCAGCAGACTGATTCCGAGAGTCGTCTTCGTCGCTCTGTCTCTCTCGCACCTGCACGGGACGCCCCTCGAGTGCGAGAGAGGCAGAGCGACGACTCTCGGAATCGGTCTGCAGGGCTGCGGCCGCCGTCCCCTGCGCCGAGTCGACCCCGCGGGAAACTTGATCCATTTATTGGCCGCGCTCGCGGAAGACTGGTCTCGCTCTGGGGGGCCACTGCCGCCACTGCAGACTGATTCCGAGAGTCGTTCAGTCGCTCTGTCTCTCTCGCACTCATGGGGCGCCCCGTATGGGTGCGAGAGAGACAGAGCGGCGAAAACGACTCTCGGAATGAGTCTGCCGGCTGCGCTGAAAAGACGGCCGGCCGGGCGATGGCGAAGGACCGTCTCGACGCTCTGTCTCTCTCGCACCCCTACGGTCCCCCGGCGCACCCCATGAGTGCGACAGAGACAGAGCGACAGAACGATCCTTCGGAGGCGCTCGACTGCTTTCGCCGCGGCCAGCTGTGCGTGGCTTTCCCGCGGCTTTCCCGGTTTTCTGGCCCGGCCGCCCCGTTATTCAAACGGAAACAATGCGGTTCGCGCCCCGCCGAGCACCGAAAGGGGAAGGGGGAGGGGGATGGCATCAAATTCATCATTATAATTTACATTTTGCAACTGTGGCCAAAAGCTAGAAACGAGCGCTGCAACTGGGAAAGAATGCGATGTGCCATCAAAGTTTAAATGACAAAATAACAACAACCAGAATTTTTAGGTGTACACTTAAAGGGAATGCATCGAATGTACCGGAGCGGATGCATGAGAGGGAGAGGGGGTGGGGAGCAAGCTGCCGCAGCAGCTGTAAGTTTACTCGAAGCAGAATGTTTGGGGGAAGAGTCACTTGGAAACCCAACCACCCGGCTGCCTGCCCACTGAGGAGTTTTGACTGCTGAAAAGTGGGTGTGGGTGGCAGCCATCGGGAAGGGGCGGGGAGGGGTTGGGGGCGTTTGAGAATAGAGGGCGGTGGGAGCCCCCCCCCTCCTCCCCCTGTCAGCGGGCGACACAAAGTAGGTGGGAGGGTGAACGGAACGGTTGCCCCCTTTTTATCTTTTTTTCTCGCGAGGGCAGTCGGCGATTTTGCAAGGTGACCCTCCAAGTCCCCTCATACGCGAGGAGACCGAAACTTTACCCCAGTCGCGGTTCCGAGCATTCCGGTAACATGAAAGTGATTCCAGTCTAGCCGTAAAGTGTGCAACTAAATTCACGTTTATTTGTTGAAAGAACTGCTCTTAAAAAAAACACACAATACAAACAAAACACGCCAATTGATTGGACTAGACTAGTCCTTCCCTATTCATTCCTCGGTCCAGCGCGCTGCCGGCTCTATTACTGATATGATGGATTATGGTAGTCAGATTGGAGGAATGGCCGAAAATAAATGGGGTGCACAATGCAGCCGAAAATGAATGGATTGCACTACGCGGCCGAAAATGAAAGGAATGCACGATGCAGCCGAAAATGAAAGGAATGCACGATGCAGCCGAAAATCAAAGGAATGCATGATGTAGCTGAAAATCAAAGGAATGCATCATGCAGCCGAAAATGGAAGGAATGCACGATGCAGGCGAAAATGGAGTCAGAATGCATCTGGAAATGAATGCAATACACGGGATGATGTCGAAAATGAATGGGAAGCACGATGATGTCGAAAATGAAAGAAATGACGCAGCCGAAAATGAAATGAATGCACGATGCAGCCGAAAATCATTAATGAACGGGATGTACTATGCAGTCGAAATGCAGTCAACAAGGGATGGAATGAATGATGCAGCCGATAATGAATAGAATGCACGATGCAGCGTAACGAAGCGCGTTGTCGTCCTTCCGACAAACGCGCCTCGTAATTCTCCCGTAATGGCCGAGTAAATTGATAAACCGCGAGGCGAGCAATAAATAAGTAATAAGAAAGTGATTCCGCGGCCGTCCAGGCGTTGCGGCGCCGCGCCATGCAAAGCCCCTGGAAGTAAGGAGGCGAATATAAAGCACAAAGATCGCCATCCCATCTCGCCAACACGGCACGGCCGGCCGGGCGAGGGGCGGGGACGGGCACAGTGGGCCAGAAGACCGGGGGAGGCGGACAAAACTCTAGACGCGTTTTGAGCTCCAGAGTCGCTAAATGGGACTCGAACCGAACGCGTGACCCCACCAATGGATTCCTCGTTCGGAGAGCAATTCATTGGTGGGGTCACACGTTCGATTCGAGTTCCATTCAGCGACTCTGGAGCTCAAAACGTGTCTAGAGTTTTGTCCACCTCCACCGGTCTTCTGGCCCACTGTGGGGGGCGCCCCTAGCGCCGCGGCTGTGGCTCGGCAAAAGTTAGACGCGACGTGCTATGGCCCTTACCGCCCTTACACTGTCCGGGCGAAAACAATCTGCAGCTGCGCTCAAGTCCGCCAGAGAGCGAAGATAAACAGCAGCGTTATGAATATTGAAGGGCTTCGGGAACTTGTCAATAATTAAGGATTCTTGTGGGACGGCGCGGCGTGTCCGCACTTGTGAGCTGCAGCGGGGACAAATTATGCGCCAAATCGAATTTCCTCGGTGTCGGTGTTGACCAATGTTTTTAAGTTTTTTTTTTTTCGACCGTGCGGCGGGCGGCGGGCGTTCCTTTTTCCACGGTGGCGCCGTGCGGGCGCGGTCCCACGAGCTAATATATGGAGCGGGCAGAATTGACCTGTCACGCTTATGCTTCTCATTTCAGCAATTTATAGGAGGGGTGGGGGTGGGGGCGTGGCGACGTCGCCGCGCCGCGCCTCGCTGCAGGAAGCCATCAGCTTCATCTCATCGATGGAAAGCACACCACAACAAACAAAACGACAAAAAACGACGGGTTTGATCGAGTCCAACTTTTTTGAGCGATGGACTGGAAAGGCCGTACAGTGCCGGCGAGCTTGCATGCGCCAGCCGCAGACTGCGATCGCCTCGTCGCTCTGTCTCTCTCGCACTCATGGGGCGTGCCGTATGGGTGCGAGAGAGACAGAGCGATCGCAACTTTTGGAATACGTCGGCGAGGGAACGAGGTTCGAATACCGGCCTCTGCGCCTCGTCTTTGCTGTGTCAAAGCGAGGTGTCAAGGGAGTCGCTTGGTGCGCGGCCCACAGTGGGCCAGAAGACCGGTCGAGGTGGCCGAAATTCTAGAAGCGTTCTAAGCCCCAGAGTCTGCTAAACAGGACTCGAACCGAACGTGTGTCCCCCACCATTGGATTCCTCAGTCGGAGAGCAATCCATTGGTGGGGTCACACGTTCCATTCGAGTCCCATTAGCGTTTCTAGAGCTCAAAATGCGTCTAGAATTTTGGCCGCCTCCACCGGTCTCCTGGCCCACTGTGCGGCCCGCGCCCGCGGGGCACCCCTCCCCCTCTTTCTTTTCGGGCTCCCCCCGACCTGCCCGTCGGCACCAGACTCAGCCACCGCCACGGCGCGGCGTAAAAATAGCGCGCCGCGCTCACTTGTAAACTGGAACGACGGAACGCGTAAAGCCGGGCGAAGCGGCAAGCCAAGTCAGCCTCTTGGCCCGTGCGCCCGCCACGGCGTGCCACGCCCCCTCACGGTGGGCCAGAAGACCGTTGGAGGCGGCCAAAACTCTACACGTGATTTGAGCTCCAGAGTCGCTAAACAGGCCTCGAACCGAACGTTTGACCCCACCAATGGATTCCGCGTCCGGAGAGCAATCCATTGGTGGGGTCACACGTTCGGTTCGAGTCCCATTTAGCGACTCTGGAGCTCAAAACGCGTCTAGAGTTTTGGCCGCCTCCGCCGGTCTTCTGGCCCACTGTGCCCCTGGCCGGCACGCCTTCGCCGCCCTCGGCACTACGGCACCTCTAGCCCACCTCACCTTCAGCCAGCCGCCGTCAAGTCGAGTCGTTATTGCGAGGGGGAAGTTTGCTGGTGAACCTGAAAATACCGTCCGCGTCGTCGGCGTCGTCCACCCCCGCAGCCCGTCACCACCACACAAGGCGCGCGGGAAGGAGGAGGAGAAGAAGGGCGTGTGGGAGAGAGAGAGAGAGAGAGAGAGAGAGAGAGAGAGAGAGAGAGAGAGAGAGAGAGAGAGAGAGAGAGAGAGAGAGAGAGAGAGAGAGAGGGAGAGAGCGTGCGAGGGGCGCACCTGGAACACACGGCAGCTTGACGGGTTGCCTAGCTGCGTCTGAAGGATAGAGAGCGAACTAGGGGCCTGGCCCTGCGGCGCGTCAGGCAACCCGTCACACACTGTAATTCGCGCGTGTTCGTGTGTGATCATGTGTGTGTGAGTGTGTGTGCGTGCGCTCGGAAGACATCAGAAACTAAGTTAAGACTGAACTCCTTTCTGCCCACAGGTGACGGATCTTTTCGCCGGTAGAGCCCCCCGCCCCCCACACCACAGCCGCCATGGACGCCATCAAGAAGAAGATGCAGGCGATGAAGATGGAGAAGGACGCGGCCATGGACAAGGCCGACACCTGCGAGGGGCAGGCCAAGGACGCCAACTCCCGTGCCGACAAGGTCCGTAAAGCGCGTCAAGCGCGAAGCGCCAAGCGGGAGCGAGCGAGAGAAAACAAAAGAGAGAGAGAGAGAGGGCGCACTCGACATTAATTCACCATTTTTTCGCCCCCCTCCCACCCGCAGGTCCTTGAGGACGTCCGCGACCTCTCCAAGAAGCTGGTCCAGGTCGAACAGGACCTCAACACCACCAAGAGCAACCTCGAACAGGCCAACAAGGACCTCGAGGAGAAGGAGAAGGCCCTCACCAACGTGAGTACTATCACTTTTCTCGCTGTTTCCAATTACTCCCCTACCACTGCACAGTGGGCCAGAAGACCGGTGGAGGCGGTCAACATCCCGGACGCATTTTGAGCTCCAGAGTCGCTATTAAGTTGGACTCGAACCGAACGTGTGACCCCACCAATGGATTGCTCTCCGAACGAGGAGTCCATTGGTGGGGTCACACGCTCGGTTCGAGTCCTGTTTAGCGACTCTGGAGCTCAAAACGCGTCTAGAGTTTTGTCCGCCTCTGCCGGTCTTCTGGCCCACTGCGCACAGCCCCTCAGAACTTGACTGTTCCGTCCAGGCCGAGAGCGAGGTAGCCTCCCTCAACAGGAAGGTCCAGATGATTGAGGAGGACTTGGAGCGCTCCGAGGAGAGGTCCGGCACCGCCACCACCAAGCTGGCCGAGGCTTCCCAGGCCGCCGACGAGGCCAACCGGTAAGGACGACGACGACGCCGTCCTAGACGACTAGGAGAAACGCAGCACAGTGGGCCAGAAGGCCGTTGGAGGCGGCCAAAACCAGGGGCGGACTGGCCCGGGCGGCTAGGCGGCGATCGCCGCCTGGGCCCTTGGGCCCGAAGGGCCCCTGGTCTTGCTCCAAAAGACGTAAATGGGCCAAAGGGCCCCTGGACTTACTTCAAAAGACCTGGACCAAAGGGCCCTAGATTCGCTCGGAGTCCGATGGGGCTCAAGGAACAAGGGCCCAAGGCCTCATGGTCTCAAAGAGCAAGGGCCTTTTCTGGGCTACAGAGCAAGGGCACAAAATTCGCCTAAGAAAAAGGGCCCCAAAAGGGCTACAGGGCCGCCAGGCCGCCCACAAAGGGCCAACTAGTTCAAGAGCCTTAAAGGGGCTACAGGACAAGGGTGCACAAGTGCAAGGGCCCAAAGAGGGCCCAAGAAAAAGGGCCCCAAAAGGGCTACAGGACAAGGGAGCACAAAGGGCCCACACGAGCATGGGCCCAAAACCGGCCTTCTAAGCAAGGGCTCAAAAAGTGCCCAAAAAGGAAGCATGGGCTCGAAAGGGGCCCACAGAGCAAAGGATAAAAAAATTATAGATTTCAAATTTTTTACAAAGCATTACCTGCTTTTTTTCTGATTTGAATGCTATTTTTTGTGTGTGGGGGGGGGGGGTCGCACAATGTTCCGGGGCCCCTAGAGGAACCCTCCGCCAGGGCCCTTTTGGTCCCAGTCCGCCCCTGGCCAAAACTCTAGACGCGTTTCGACCTGCCGAGTCGTTAAATCAGACTCGAACTCAGCGGCGGTTGGGCATAAGGACGTAAGTCACATGGGAAACCCATTGAAAATAGGTTGTTCTGTCCGATGACCACTCAACTGAACGTGTGACCCTACCAATGGATTGCTCTCCGAACGAGGAATCCATTGGTGGGGCCGCACGTTCGGTTCGAGTCCCGTTTAGCGACTCTGGAATTCAAAACGCGTTTAGAGTTTCGGCCTCCTCCAACGGCCAGAAGACCGGCCGACAGACTTTGCGTTTCTCAAGTATCTCTAGGATTCTACACTCAAAATATGGGGTGCCCAGCAACTGGGCGCCTTTGTCGCCCGCCCCACTTTTTAGGGTGCCAAATGTCGCCCAGTTTCTGGGCACCTTTGTCACCCAGTCTCGGCGTGGACAAATCATACAGCAACCGGCCCTCTCCCATGGTAGAGGATGCACAGGTGTCTAGTTCCTGGGTGACTAAGGTGCCCAAATTCTGGGCACCTTAGTCACCTTAGTCGCTGCTGAGCCATGGGTGAAGGCAGGTTCCTTTGTGGATTGTCCACCCCTAGACTGGGCGACAGAGGTGCCCAGAAACTGGGCGACATTTGGCACCCTAAAAAGTGGGGCGGGCGACAAAGGCGCCCAGTTGCTGGGCACCCTATATTTAGAGTGTAGACGACGGCACTGAGCGAATTACGCGCAACGAGCCCACGCAATGAGATTTGCGTTTCGCCATTGCAGCATGTGCAAGGTTCTGGAGAACCGCAGCCAGCAGGACGAGGAGCGCATGGACCAGCTCACCAACCAGCTCAAGGAAGCCAGGCTGCTGGCTGAGGACGCCGACGGCAAGTCCGACGAGGTGGGTGTCTTGGGACACTTCAAATTCGAGTGTGAGACAGTCTGACACCATCTAGAGCTAGCTAGCGTGAACAAACATGTCTCACGCTTACAAGTCTGAGCCACGTTTGTGACGCGCTTGCAAGAGTGAGACACGACCGGTGTCTCACTGGTAAAACTAAAGCGTAACTCTATGCTTGAGTCAAACATAAAGTTACGCTTGAAATCAAGCATACTCTGGAAATTCCCCCATGCATTTAGATAGGGGAAATCTTGGCGGATGAGCCTGTTATGCTTGATTTCAGGCGTAAACTGATTACGCTTGAAAACAGTGGGTAATACTACGCTTTAGTTTTACCAGTGCTCACACTTGTCAGCGTGAGACATGTTGGGGCGCCAAACAGTGTGCACTCTTCAAAGCCTACGAAGCATTTGCTTCATAACTACGAAGAAAATGAAGGCATTGTAGAATTACTTCCCGTGAAGAAATGCTTCGTATTAAAAAGGACTTTACTTCATAATACGAAGCATTTCTTCGTAGATTTTACAATGCCTTCATTTTCTTCGTATTACGAAGCGATTCTTCGTAGAGTTTTTGCTGGAGACTGCCCCTACACTGGGATTCGCAGTGCATTCCCCTGCCGCCACCCCACCAGAAGGCAGGACGGCATGATGAAAATGACGCTGTTTCTGGCTCCAGGTTTCCCGCAAGCTGGCCTTCGTTGAAGACGAGCTGGAAGTCGCTGAGGACCGTGTCAAGTCCGGTGACGCGTAAGTACACTGTCCAAAAAAGCCCGTGACTTTTTTCTTTCTACAGCGGTACTCGGGGGACGCACAGTGGGCCAGAAGACCGGAGGAGGCGGCGTAAACTCTAGACGCACTTTAAGCTCCAGAGTCGGGAGTTGAACCGAACGTGTGACCCTACCAATAGATTGCTCTCCGAACGAGGAATCCATTGGTGGGGTCACACGTTCGGTTCGAGTCCTGTTTAGAGACTTTGGGACTCAAAACGCGTCCCGGATTTTTGCCACCTGCACCGGTCTTCTGGCCCACTGGGGGCCTCGGCGGCGAGTCTCCCCGTGTCGGCCTGTCAAACTGGGGCGTCGTGGATCGAATCTCCGCAGCGCGCCGCAGCGTCACATTATTTTTCTGCCTTGTTTTCCAGCAAGATCATGGAGCTCGAGGAGGAGTTGAAGGTCGTGGGCAACAGCTTGAAGTCCCTGGAGGTCTCGGAGGAGAAGGCCAACCAGCGAGTGGAGGAGTACAAGCGCCAGATCAAGACCCTCACCGTCAGGCTGAAGGAGGTTCGAAAGCCAGCAACGCATGCCCCACACTGTCAAAACTTTGGTTGTCACTTGATGACAATGTGAAGGCACATATTCCTCACAAGAGTGTCATCACAACACACTGAGAATACCTCACAAATTATTTTCGGCCTTACAAAGAAAATCAGCTAGTTATCACAAAGTATTTTGAGCATACATAAGCTTACAAAGAAAATACTTTGTAATTTACGAACTGTTTCTTCGTATAACAAAGTAAATTAGTTCGTACTATGTAAGCTCAAAATACTCCGTAAGGTTTTAAGCGCGCAGTTAATGACATTGCTGTCATGCCCATACAATACCTTATCGACGCCTTCTAACAAAACAGACCTTTCTGACAGATCTCTTTAGCTGGGAGGTGTCGTTATGAAAATGTCATCAATTTATGACGACATTGTCACCAGTGATGAAAATATAATCTACTATCTCATAAAGTGGCAACAAAGTTTGACAGTGCACTCGCGTGCCGGGCAATTGACTCAATCGGAAACCGTGTTTGCAGGCTGAGGCCCGCGCCGAGTTCGCCGAGAAGACGGTCAAGAAGTTGCAGAAGGAGGTCGACCGGCTGGAGGGTGAGTGCCTCGCGCTGTCCCCTTCGTCCATTAACCCCGCTCGAATAAGCATTCCGACCTTTCAGCGTGCCCAGCACCGAGATTCGACGTCTAGACTTAGCTCGGCTGTTACACGTCAAACCTGCGCTTATTTTAGTTCATGTTCTGTCCGGTTAAACTTTGTCTCTCTTTTAACCACCTTTTCCAGATGTGTTCTTATTGTCGACGGTGTCGTGCCTAGAGTAATACTTAGAGTAACACGTTAATTATTTTACAAACTGACAGAAGGCAGTGGCTTTGCAAGCTGCTGTGTGTGAAGTGTTTTTCGTGTTGTGTTTTTGTTTCATGCTAAACTAACTAATGTCTTCTAATCCTTCATTGTTGCAGACGACCTCTTCAACGAGAAGGAAAAGACGAAAGCTATTTGCGATGATTTGGATTCCACATTCGCTGAGCTCACTGGCTACTAAACATTTTCAGAAAACAACACATCTTCCTCCTGTCTTGTCCTTTCTTATCCGTTCGCTTTACAAACTTATCTTTTGTTCCGCTCCGTCTCTTTTCTTGACTCTGTAAACTTCGCATTTTTCTGTTTTCCTCACTTCAAACTTCACCACGGAAACAAGATTATTTTCTATGGGGGATAAAGGTTGTTCTTTTATGTGGGACTGCCACGACTCTTAAATGTTACTCAAATCATCATGATATTTTGAAAAATAATATTCGACGCGTAAAGTTGATTTACTTCGTCAGAATATCTAGTCTGTATATTTTCAAGTCATCGTGTACATACCGCTGTACAGGGCGTTTGCCTACTGCCTTATTACATACAGCCGTCCAAGACTCCCTTTTTTGTGTCGTCAATTAATTTTCCGGAAAGTCACGAGAGCTCTCTCCGGTGGCGCTCCCTTTTGACTCGGCGCTTTTGAGTCAAATCCTAGCACTAGGGGTACGCGCCGTTTACTGTGGGCGCGTAGTGTGGCTGAGCGATGCGAATTAGTTTCTGCACTTCGGACTTTGCTTAACTGGACGAAATGAGCAACTTATGGGCTCTGAGTGAAATGTAGGTCTCGGGTATAAATGGAAGTGATTTTCGTTTTCAGCACGCAAAAAGCTGTTAGGATCAACGTCAAACTCGATTCAAAAATTTTGGTCCAAATTTGGTCAAAATTAGGTAAAGCGTGAGTCTGGGAAAAATTTGGAAGTCATTTTTGAGTTCAGCACACCAAAAACTGCAGGAAACAATATAAAACTCGACTTGAAGATTTTGGTCCAAAATGACCTAATTTGGGATGAAAATATAAGTCTGGAGTCGAAATGGAAGTGATTTTCGTTATCAGGACACAAAAAACTACTGAGATCAACATCAAACTCAATTCAAAAATTTTGGTCCAAATTTGGTCAAAATTGGGTAAAGCGCGAGTCTGGGAAAAATTTGGAAGTCATTTTTGAGTTCAGCACACCAGAAACTGCAGGAAACAATATAAAACTCGACTTGAAAATTTTGGTCCAAAATGACCTAATTTGGGATGAAAATATAAGTCTGGAGTCGAAATGGAAGTGATTTTCGTTATCAGGACACAAAAAACTACTGAGATCAACATCAAACTCAACTCAAAAATTTTGGTCAAAATTTGGTCAGAATTAGGTAAAGTGTGAATCTGGGAAAAATTTGGAAGTCATTTTTGAGTTCAGCACACCCAAGACTGCAGGAAACAATATAAAACTCGACCTGAAAAGTTTGGTCAAAAATGAGCTAATTTGAGATGAAACTATAAGTCTGGAGTAGAAATGAAAGTGATTTTCATGATTGGCACTCCAAAAACTGCAAGAATTAATGTGAGATTCAATTGAAAAATATTGATATTGAATTGATTAATAACGGATAGAGTATGGGTCTGGGTTCATGGATCACCCCATGTCGTCACCCTAATGCGAAACCAATGCGATTCCTCAGTCGAGTAACATTCCATTGAATCGCTTAATTGGCTAATCGTCTGCTTGAGTCACTACTCGATATATCTGTTTCTTCAAACTAATGAATTTACTAATTTATTAGTTATATTTGAGTAGCCTTTTGTCATTCTTTCATTTTAAACCAGTGAATTAAACAATATAGACTGGAATATGTAATCATAGGTTTTATTAAGTGAATCAGTTTAGGGCAGGCTGATCTGAAGCATAAGACGGAGACCAAGTTTTGTCAAATTCAGTGAATTGTCTCATGAAGTCCAATGCAGAGGCCACTTTTTGCTCAATACGCCATTATCTTATTCATGTCTTGTGGTAGTTTATCTTTGGAGTAAAAGATGACAGTACAGGATTAACATTAGGCATTGGGCTTTTGTTCGGAGAGCCACATTTAAACTATTACCAATACTAAGTTCCAGTTATCGGACACAAACTTTGGTGAAGTGAAAAGAATCGTCTCATTAAATCCAATTACCAAGTCACTCACCGCTCACAATCTGAATCGTCTCATTGAATCCAATATCAATTCAAAATTTATTAGCATTAAAAATACACATCCATATGTGGATTCTTTTAATCAATAGATGCTAGTACAAGAATATTTATGTTAGGTTGCAGCATTAAAATAGGATGTCATTTCCCGAGTCAAACAAAGACATGTAACTTGTCTTCTAATTTCAACAGAAGTTATTCATGCATTCACCTAATTTGATTTTCTATGAAATTTAAAAATAAATTTAAAAATAAGGATGGTATCAGAGAAAATAAAATCAGTTGATACACACAAAGTAACAGGCAAAGAAAACATTCTATTTTCAGTCCACAACTACACTCACAGTGCACTGACCTGCAGGAAGATTCCCCTGTGACGAGGGAGGGGGGAGAGGGGCACGAAACACGCAAACCATTCTCACTTTCAGTTTTCGTATTTTCCTCTGTTGACACTCCGGAAGGGTTTTAATCATTCTAGAATGTTAAAAAACTAACTCAGAACCTATTTGAGAGCCCCTTTGCTCTTCAGTTTGTTTATTTGCATAAGTACCGTCCTGTCTTGCAGACGGCTTGGAAGCGCGGCAGCCGGTATGAGAAATTGGTAAGCCACACACTGCTACCAACCAAACAACGCTAATAACCTAGTTCAAAACGATGTTTTGAATATTTCAAACGATGATAATTGTTGATCTAAGATAAACTCCCCCTGTGGGACACTTTGGAGATGTTCAATGCGAAATTTGGGAACAATTGGTGTTGTAGTTGCTGAGAAACGTGAGCGTGTACGCTACAGACTCACAGACGGACAGACAGACTCACGACCAGTCACTTTTTGGTGCGCCCAAACACGGCATGGGCTTCGCTATCGCTCAGCCAATAAAGAAATAGGCCTATTTTTCATTTGTGGCGTTTTTTTCGTGTTTTTGTGTTCCTTTTTATAACGAAAGAAAAAAAACTCGTGTACGCTTTCTCCGTCTGTGATATTCTCCTTTTTTTGTCTTGACCATAATACGCATAGCAAAGAAAGAAAAAGTTGAAAAAAAAATTTGCACACATTGACACTCCCAGCAGGCGATCGCGCATCGCGGACCTCTCCAGCCAGGTAGTAACCGTTTTGAGGCGTCTTTGTGGTGTGACGGTCCAAGGCCCCATACGCAACACCGGGCTAAACGGGACAGGGCTTGGTGGAAATCTGTGCTCGCTTTCAGGGGGAACACTATGTTAAGAATGTGGGGAAATTTACAGTGCTGGGCCAGGTTCCTTTCCTGTCATGTGTACATAGCTCAAGTTTTCAGCGACGTTGAAGATCTGGACTGGCCCATTTTTCTGTATGTTTCTTCACGATTCGGACAGTGGGCCTTCAGGCCGCTCCCCGTCTGAAAGTGGAGCAAACTTTTCCCTGCGGAGCATGGTGGATTTACTCGCTGTCGACCGGACATGTCCGGTCTGCTTATCGAAGATAGTCGATAGAAAAAAGTGTTAATTTTGCGTTTCGCTGAATTCGAGCGCTGCTGAGGCGGGACGACCTCTGCAGTTTTTGTTTGGGAGTCAAAGTATCGTCAATGTCGACCGCCTGCTGGCAGGCAGTCACATTGGACTTGGCCGCCTGTCGTTTCCGAGTTTGAAATTTGCTACTTTGGGCGTTGCTCGGCTAAAAAAATCCTCAAACGAAGGAGGGGGCTGGGCTTTTACCAGTATGAACTTTGCATGGCTTTTCTCCACCTCAAATTGGACTTTGACATTGACAATATGATTTAAATAAACAATCATTTGGTGTCTTTTTCAATTCAAAGAAATTAAGGTGTTGCTTATGGGGTTGCATGTCCCATACACTGTACATATACTCCGAAATGTTACGCCTCGTACTTGCAACTTCTTTCTTCACCACGTTTCATCCCGACGCACGACGGTAGCGGGATTCGATACACTGGATTCATTCACGAAACCTATGTCTCCATTCTGTTGCTTTGCACGCGTGTGCGCGTGTGTGTGCGCGCCTGTGCGTCCTTGGTGTCTGTGTGTGTTGTGACTAAAACGCCGCTTCTGTAGGTTTGAGCCCCTGCCTGCGTCTGCATCGTGACGAGAATACAAGTCCTCTATCATTTTCAGAGTGCCACATTCTTCGCATGAACCTCTTGCATTCCGGGGAAAATGTGTCCAGTCGCCTCGCGGAGACTGTCTCTCTCACATTGGCGTGTTTGTTTTGCAGACGAGCTCGGCATCAACAAGGACAGGTACAAGTCCCTGGCCGACGAGATGGACTCCACCTTCGCCGAGTTGGCCGGCTACTAAACGGACGACGTGCCGGCTAACAGTCGCCGGTGACCAAGCTTTCACCATCAGGCTCGCCACCACCATCTCACCATCACCACCACCACCACAATCACCAACACCAAGCACAATAAAGAAAAGAGTCTCTCGCATTATTGTTCTGAGCGTGTTTTTGTATCTGAGCCGGCCTGATCTTGCTTCCTGTGGTGGCACATGGCTTTGGAGGCCTTTCCAGTACTCCACAATGTGAATATAACTCAAATATAACGACGCTTCGACGAGGATGAGAAAGTCAACAACCCTGTTAGGATAAGAAATGGATGGTTCTCTACACAGTTTTATTATTTTTTCCCCTTTCAATCGGCTTTCAGTTTCGTACGGGATCACACTCACACACACGCACGCATGGAAGGGGCACTTACACCAATTTCTTCAACCATTATGTTGATTTGTATTATTATGTTTATAAATAAACGTTATATTTATTTCTCAATAATTTTGTAACGTGATGTTCTCGGCAGTCCCGCATGTAAATAATAAAAGTTCAGTAACTGTTATTTTATCTTGAAGCACGCTTTGACCCGTCTCGCACATCTGCTATTCTGCACGAAGCTTTAAAAGCAAGCAATGAGGGAATGGAGGGATTCTGGATCGCGGATGAATGCTAGCGGAAGGTCCAAGAGAGTGGCACGACCTTCCTAAAGCAAATCGAGATTTACAAAATTAAAAAAGTATATTTCTGATGGCTTTGTTCGAAAAGCAACAAGGACAGCTGTTTTCCGGACGTATGGATCACACTGTTTACCAATCAAAAGATATGGACTCGGCCATTATCCGAAGAATGAATAAGAAGAAGACAACGAGAAGAAATCGACAACTTTCAAATAGCATACAGCAGCGACAAACAGGTGATTCAAATCGAACACTCAGAGTGAAAGAAAACTTTAAAGAAACAGTATACTGTTGAGAGTAATTCGAAAGCCAGCCCTCTACACGGTGGAGTGTGGTGGCTTGCCTTTCTAAACGCCTAATGGTATGTGTCGTGCCCGAAATGGCATACGATCATGTGTGGTCTAGCCTTTAATGGTAATGGTAATGTGCAGGAGTGCGATGGGTTGCCTACCCTGCTGCCGTCGGGCGGGCTGGGCTGGGCGCCTGAGGGGGAGGGGTTGTCGCCGTAAGTTTTGTCCAGCAAGTTGGGAGGAACTGATGACGAAAATGAAGGGGTACACCCCCCAGCAGTCCCCAACACACTAGTCCTGCCTCCTCCTGGGCGGGGACAGTTTAAATCCGAACACAGGCCAAGACAGGAAGCCGTGCCAGAAATGGAGGGATGACTTCATTGCAAAGGAAAGCTTGGTAAAGAACGGTTTCCTGCGTATACATATTTTTTTTGGTAGAGGCGGGGGGGGGGGGGGGGGTAGTGGTGGTTCAGCACTATGCAAAATGGAAGGACCGCCAGAGGCGTTGTAATGGAGTAGGGCCGAAAGTGGCCCGGAATCGTTGACAGGCACGCCGCCTGAACCAAGCCGACGACGACGACCAACGCAGGGCTCGCAGGGCCTGGACGGCTTGGACGGCAATGGTGGATGACACCCGGAGGAGCAGGCGGCTGTGACTCGGCGTAGAGTTGCCGCTCAGCTCCCGCCTCGGCCTAGGGTTTCCACTCGGCTCACGCTCGTCCTAGGGGTGCCACTCGGCTCACGCCTTGGTCAAGGGTTGCCACTCAGCTCACGCCTCGTCGTAGAGGTGCCACTCGGCTCACGCCTCAACCTAGGGTTCCCACTCGGCTCACGCCTCGTCCTAGGGGTGCCACTCAGCTCGCCTCGACCTAGGATTGTCACTCTGCCTCGGCCTAGGGTTTCCACTCAGCTCGTGCCTCGGCCTATAGCGTTGTCGCTCGGCGCGCGCCTCGGCCTAGGGTTGCCACTCATCCCGTGCCTCGTCCTAGCGTTGTCGCTCCGCGTGCGCCTCGGCCTAGGGTTGCCACTGGGCCGTGCCGCGACCCACCGTAACCCAACCCCTAAAGGGCCATCCCCATCCTGTAGCGCCACGGCGTGCCGCGCGAGCCACCCCACGGGCCATGCAGCCGCCAGCCTCTGGAGCCATATACCCTGCGGCCAGGCCCGCGGCCCTCGGCCTGGGCGAGCAGGGCGCTTCCGCACGTCGCTCTGTCTCTCTCACTCGTGAGGCACTCCCAGTAGGTGCGAGAGAGACAGAGCGACGCTGCGCGGAATCAGTGCGCTCCGCCAGCAACAGCTTGTGACGTGCCAAGATGGCGGCCGCCCACGCGTGCGCCCAGCCTGGGCCACCCAGCGGACCCATTCCGAGAGTCCTCCCCGTCGCTCTGCCTCCCTCGCACTCACGGGGCGCCCCGTACAGGCGCGAGGGAGGCAGCGCGACGAAAACGCCCCTCGGAATCGGTCCGCTGGCAGCCAGGCGGCCAGGCCCGGGCCGCCACCCCCTGTATTGACCGGAGCGCGACGCGGGCGCCCCTGGCGGCAGACGTCGCAAGCGGCGCCGCCATCACAACGAGCACTGCAGCGAGGACCGCGCCTCGCTTTTAACCGAACCGACGTTAATTTTGGGCGCCGAGTGTGCGACAGCCCGCGCCGCCTCTCGACGGGGAGGTCGGGGGCGTTGTCTTCCGTCGTCGACGCGGCCGCGCCTCTGTCCGCGCGTCGCCCCGCCTCCAGCGAGTGGCCCTTGAAGCCGACGGCGGGTCTGGGCACGGCCTGAGCCGCGCCACCCGCGCCACCCGCGCCATGGGGGTGCTCGACGGCCCGGAGATCCGCGCCCTCGAAGCAGGTGAGTCCCTCCAGGACGCCGATGTCCACAAACCGTCCCCCTGGCGTGGCGTCCCCGACGGCCGCCGCCTTTGGCGCGTGCAGACGACACGGCCAGGACACTGGCCTTGCCCCGCAGATCAATACGCCCTCGCCAGTCGTCACCAACAAATGCATGTTTTTCGCGTCCCCGGGGCTGGTTGTCACTGGCGACACCTTGACGGGCCTGGCCGTTTGGACGTGTTGGTGGCTGCTGGCTGCCGCCGTGTCGCCGTGGCAGCGTCCAAGAAGCGTCCGACGGCCGAGCCCCGAGGCGCGAGTAGGGTTATGGCACCCCTCGCCGTTGTTTACGTGGGCGGGAAACGCCGTTCCAACATTTGGCCTTTTCGCGGCGCGGCACTGTAAAACGGTGTCGCGTTCCTTCGGGGAAGCCGTCCTCAGCACAGAGTGACGACCTCCTTTGCCAGCTCTCTATTTCGCTCGCCGAGACACTTTTAGCACCGTGCTGAAGCACTGTAAGCTCTGTGTGTTCGTCACCCTGCTCTGCCATTACGTGGAATGGGAATGCCCCCCCATGCGGCGGCGGATAGACTTCAACATCAGTGCCGTCCGAATCGGTCTGTCGGGTTGTTTATGCTCGTGGGAGGAGAAGTTGAACATCGCTGCATTCCGTTGTCACGGGGATCGTTCGACGAGCGTGACATAACCCCACCCTCGAGCCCTGGGACATGAATACACTGTCAACCGTGACGTCACACACAGAACGCGTCACCGCTCGTTTGAGAATTCTGTCACGCACGTTTGAACGGAGATGCCGTGCCACATTCGTAGATGATGTCGTTGAAGACTCCACATTGTAGAGTGGTGTCTGTTTCCCTGGCAAACACCCCCTCGCGCACACAATGGACCAGAAGATGGGTGGAAGCGGCCAAAATTCTAGACGCATTCTGAGCTCTAGAGTCGCTAGAGTTTTCTAGAGTTCTAGGGACTAGAACCGAACGTGTGACCCCACCAATGGATGGTTCGAGTCCTATTTAGCGACTCCGGGGGAGGCGGGGAGAGGTCTTGCAGCGCAGATGATGATGGAGCTCAAAACACGTCTAGAATTTTGGCTGCCTCCACCGGTGTCCTATACCCCACTGCGACGCACCCTCACGTGTACACAAAAGTAACGTCAAATGCAGTGCAGTGGCTGCCTCAACGTTTTCGTTAGGAGTGCGTCCTGGTGGACGGGTGGTGGAGCCAAGGGAAGGAATCTTGTGGCAACGAAGGGCCTCCCTCGGCCTTGGGGTGGACGGTGCCCTCGCCCGGGCATGCGGTCCGGTCATCCCCCTCATACCGCTTTTACGATCCAATCGAAGATTGTCAGAGAAGGGAAGGTCTTTCTTCCTTTCTTCCTTCCTTCCTTCCTTTCTTTCTTTCTTTCTTTCTTTCTTTCTTCCTTTCTTTCTTTCTTTCTTTCTTTCTTTCTTTCTTTCTTTCTTTCTTTCTTTCTTTCTTTCTTTCTTTGTCCTGCCCCAAGATGAAATGATGCAAATTGTGGAGGCAACTGTCCAGATCGAGGTTCTTATGCTGATGAAGCGACTGTGTGCAGAGTGCTTTTTATTTTTTCTCTCCCTCTCTCCCTCTGCGTCTTTGATCAGCTCTGTCCCGCACGTGCACGGTGGCCTCGGCCGCCACGTGTACACGGCCTCCTCTTACTTCCTCTGCTCTCTCTCTCCCTCTCTCTCTTCCCCCCACCCTCTCTCCCTGTTCCTCCTCCTTTCTCGATGGAGCCTGACTGTACAATCTGTCACGAGAAACGCTTTCACACACGTGGTCATTCCCTTTTATCAATCTTTGTCTCTCTCTCACACACACTTACAGGCAAGTAAGGTACATTTCGCTTTTCCACCAACACGGACACACACACATTCACCACTTTCACCTACACATGCCCAGTTCCACAGTTGGTTATCCTCCCTCTAGACTGATTCTACATAGTGAGGCCGTCTGTATGTCTCTCTTGCACAGGCACGGACCACCCCATGAGTGCGAGAGAGAGAGAGAGAGAGAGAGAGAGAGAGAGAGAGAGAGAGAGAGAGAGAGAGAGAGAGAGAGAGAGAGAGACCTTGCACTCGGAATAAGTCTAAGCAAAAGAATAGGTGTGTTCAAACGCGCGCCTTTGCAAAGATCTCCCTCCCAATGGACGGACCGTGCGTTGGTTCCAAACACAGGTGTAGCCAATCAGAGGCCAGACCGATGATGAGTCTGAATTGAAAAATGACTCTGTGGCCATTGAACCCGCAACAGAGATAAGCATCCACCCCTCCGGTGTTTGCCTCACTGTCGCCCCGTCCGTCTGTTTGTCTGCCTGCCTATCTGACACGCGCTCTGTCTCTGTCTCCTCGCGTTCCATTCGTTATTCCCGCCCACGCTAATTCACAGTGTGCCGGCAAGGTGTGCGATCCATCACGTTATCGCGTTGCGGCAGACTGACTCCGAGAGTCGTTTTCGACGCTCTCTCTCTCTCCCGCACTCGGGCGTCCCGTACAGGTGCGAGAGAGATGGAACGACGAAGACTCTCGGAAGACTATTTACAGTGCAGGCAAACCAGGCACTCCAGGCAGGCCAACCGGAGGAACTCGGAAAACACAAAAGCGAGCAGTCACAGTCGAGACGTTACCGTTCCTTCTTTTCGGCCAGTCGCAAATCAAATCTGTTTTCTGCTATTTTCGCTAGGCAACTTTTTCGACTCGGGACTTATTTTTTTCAAGTACAGGCCGGACTGCCAGGATTGCGTTCATTATGTATGGTTACCCAGGATGCAGTGTCTGGCTTAGGACGCTGCCGCAATTTATGGCTTTCAGAGTCCGGTCCTCTTGTCAATGTTGTTGTTGTTGTTGTTGTTGTTGTTGGTTGTTGTGGTGGCTGTGGTAGTGGTGGTGGTGGTGGTGGTGGTGGTGATGATGTTGCTGCACTTCGGATCCCATCGGGCAGAGAGCACAGCAGGTTCATCCCATCATGCAGGCCATTCCCGATATCCTGTCCGGCGGCCGCACCCCCCGGCCCCTACTTTCGTTCATTATCGCGCCCCCATAGTTCAAGGCCGCACGAAGGCCGCGGTGCAAGGCCGAGTACGGTGTCGAGGCGCGTGCTATTCCACTTCACACAGTGGGCCAGACAGAAGACCGGTGGGGTCGGCCAAAACGCCAGACGCATTTTGATCTCCAGAGTCGCTGAAATGGACTCGAACCGAACATGTGGCCCCTTCCCTTCCATGGAGAAAGTGATGAATGTGAACCCATCCATGACCCCATCAATGGATTGCCCTTCGAACGGGGAGTCCATTGGTGGAGTCACACCGTTCGGTTCAAGAGTCCTGTTTAGCGACTCTGGAGCTCAAAACGCGTTGGACTTTTGACCCACTGTGCACTGATCCCGCATATGCTGATGGCGTGGCTTCGAATTTCTCCGAATAGCACAGGATAGGCTGTTGTCGAGGGGTCAACCAATGTACAACTTCGTGTGCAAGAATGTGGAAATTTGATGGAGGGTTGTATTTGTGACAGGTGTCTCCTACTTACAGCCGTTGTTGCCGTTAGAAAGTTTAATGTGTCCTGATTTTGTACAGGGAATGTATGGGGAGCAAAAATTCGATCGAGAAATTTTTACATCCTCTCTTTTTTTGCCCCCGTTCCGTTCATGGCTCCTCTGATCTCAAGTCTCAAGGAGCGACCAGCAGTTTCACCGCGACGCACGGTGCCCCAAAAAAAGCACTGTGCGGGCCAGAACCGCGAAAGTGATCCCTGGGGCCAGATTGTCCTTGGGGTCGGAAAGTTCCTCTGTCTTCTTCTTCTTCTTCTTCTTCTTCTTCTTCTTCTTCTTCTTCTTCTTTTTTTTAATTGGCGGGGGCCCACTCGCGGGTATCGCACGGAATCGCCGGAAATGCCGGAAACGGTTCGCACTGGCTGACGACGCACTTCCCCCCCGGGGGTCTCTGTGGCGGGTGGTCTCGGGTGGGGGTTGGTTCGCTCGCGTGGGACTGAAGGCGAGGGGGGGGGGGGAGTTTGAGCTGCCGCGCGTGGGCGGGAGATGCTGTGGGAAAGGGCAGGGGGGGAGGGGGGGTGTCTCCTTCCCACCCCACCCCTCTCCCGGGGCTGCGTTCTGCCCACACCATTCCTCAGCCAGCTCTCATCTTACCCGGGGTATCCATATGATTGCATTTTATTTGGACAAGCTCGGCGTCCGGCGACCCTCGGCATTTGTGTGTGTGTGTGTGTGTGTGTGTGTGTCTGTGTGTGAAGAGGGCAAAGATTGTCGCCCGGCAGGCGCCACGGGGGAGGGCTCTCCGGTTTCTCGTCCCATCCTGGTCTTCGTTTCGCGGAAATGTTTTGACAGGGAAGGCGAGAGGAACCAAAGACATTTTTCCGCGGCGTGAAACCCAGGAACCTGCGGACTGCGGAGTCCGAGAAACGTCTTCGTCGCTCGTGTCTCTTTCGCACCTGCACGGGACGCCCCATGAGTGCGAGAGAGACAGAGCGACGAAGACGAACGCCTCTCAGAATCAGGCAGCTGCTGCTGCAACGGAAGACGTCGGTGACCGGCTCACGTGCGTCTGACAACCTGATTGCTCCACTGCTGTCCCCCGAGGAAAAAAGGGGGGGGGGAGGTACACCGTATTTTCACTTTCACTGCACTCGCTTTCGGTATGTGCTGACAGCGAAAAAGGGGAACGAAACGGCTCTCTAGAAATTTGCCGATTCCTTCGAAGGATTCCCCCGTGCTCCTGTTTGGCCATTTGTAATCCTTGAGCCCTGGGACAGCTACTTACTCAGCTCAGCGGGACGTCGTCAAGGCGACGGGTGGGAGGGGTAGGGGGTAGGGGGTACGGGGAGGGGTGGAGGTAGCAAGGCCTAGCGAAGCCTCTGAACAACAGCAAAATATTTGACCATCTCGTCCCCTCCTGCACCCTGCCTGCCTGCATACCCTTTAGCTTTGTCCCCACCGAAGCCGCCTCGGAAAATATTGTCCGTCCACCGGCCTTTGTCAACGCCATTCAGCCAGGAGGACGCAGACGTGTGCAAAAAAACAACGAAAAAAACAGCAACACACAAAACAACAACAAAAGAACGCACAACGCCCACGGCGAATATTATTTTTCAATCCGTAATCATCGTCCGACTCAACTGTTGCCGGACCGAACAAACAAAGCTTCGTACACAAAGGAACGCGTTTGTGGTCCTGTGGGCCGACCTGTCCCTACCGACCGGCCGCTGCCCTTTACCTTGGATTGCGAGAGGGAAAAAAAACAGGAGGCCGCTCACAAACAACAAAACTAAAAAGAAAAACAAATACTCTGCATGCATTTTGTGACAAAAAATTACACCATCCCTTGGCCCGAATGCGAAATCCGAATCCCCCAATAAATACTGTCCGAAACTAACCCCCCTATCTCTCTCTCTCTCTCTCTCTCTCTCTCTCTCTCTCTCTCTCTCCCTCCCTCCTCTCTCTTTCTGAGGGAAAAATGGGCCCGGTGCCTCTGAGAATCCAGCTGTTTGTGTTCGTTGTGCTTTCCTAACCGAGGGCGTGTTTGTGTTGCAGGAGCAGGTGAGTGCAGGCGGCCGTGTCGCCGTGGCCGCGGTACGCCGAAACCTGACCCAGCGGCTTGGAAGAGGAAGAATGACAACTTTGCGGCCGCGGGGCCGCGGAGCCGCACGGTAGTGGGCCAGAAGACCGGTGGAGGCGGCCAAAATCCCGGACGCGTTTTGAGCCCCGATAAGTCGCTAAATGGGACTCCAACAGGACGTTTGACCCTACCAATGGATTCCTCTCCGAACGAGGAATCCATTGGTGGGGTCACACGTTCGGTTCGGGCCCAGTTTAGTGACTCGGGGGCTCAAAACGCGTCTAGAGTTTTGGCCGCCACCGCCGCCGGTCTTCTGGCCCACTGTGAGCCGCGAAGCCGCGGCAGCCAGGGACCAGGAGGGCTCGGCTCATCTTCCACCACGACGTTGCCCTACCCCTGCGCGAGGGACCAGAGTCTCGGCTCGGGCAAATACAGCGGCGGGCTCATTCCGAGAGACGACGCTCTGTCTCTCTCGCACCAATACGGCGCACTGCGCGAGTGCGAGAGAGACAGAGGGGACTACTCCCGGACTCGGTCTGGAGCGGGCTCTTCTGTATTCCCTTTCAGTGGCGTCTTCCAAGAAGCAGACGTCTGCTGGACGTCGTCTGCGTTCTGGAGGAATATGTAGACGTCCTCCACAGACTGATTTCAGAATCGCGCTTCCGTCGCTCTGTCTCTCTCGCACTCATGGGGCGTTCCGTGAGAGTGCGAGAGAGAAGGAGTCAGCCTCACGGAAAATCAGCCTCACGTTAGAATTAGCACGTTGACATCGTCTGATTCGGTCTGACCTCACGACAGCCGTCGCCTGGGCGTAGTCTGCAGGTCGCTCTGTCTTCTGCACTGTGGCAAAAAGCTACGGAAAATTCTGTAAACAGCTTGTGGTAATTCTCCGTAGCCCCTTTAACAATATTCTCCGTAGGCTCTTACAGTATTTTCCGTAGGACAGCACAGTATTCTCCGTAGGACTATACAGTCTTCCAGGGCCTACGGAGAAGACTGTGCGGACTTACAGAGAATACTGTACGGCCCCACGGAGAATACTGTAAGAGCCTACGGAGAATATTGATAAGAGGGCTACGGAGAATCCTGGCAAAAAAATTAACAGAATTTTCCGTACCTTTTTGCCACAGTGTGTCTGTAGAGTTTTGGCCGCCCCACCGGTCTTCTGGCCCACAGTGCGGTACCTCGCTCGGTCCCATGGACGTGGTAGGTCCCGACTGCGTGCCGGCTCGCCATCCCCGTGCCATCCCCGGCAAACGGCAGCTGCTCTAAAGCCTCCAGAGCGCCGAAAGGCGCCCCATTTTTCAGGTCCTGGGGGACCGGTCATGTGGGCAGGCTGCACGGGGCTCCGCCGGTACAAAACGTCGCGCGGCGCGGGGCGGGATGGCACGGCAGACTGATTGCGAGAGTCGTTCTCGTCGCTCTGTCTCTCTCGCACTTGTGGGGACCGGCCGGTGAGTGCGAGAGAGACAGAGCGAGACTCTAGGAATCAGTCTGCGGGGTGGCCGTGCCGTCACCCCTCCAGCTGGCCGTGCTGCCTGGCTGGGCCACTGGGCCGCGGCCACGCAGTCCCAGCCGCCGCCGCTAGAGAGCGCTGGCGGCGGCGTCGCGTCGCGCCGGCCGCCTCGAGCATCGTGCCGCCTGGCTGGCTGGCTGGCTGGCGGACTGGCCTAGTCTGCGCGTGGCGCCGCGACGCCCTGGTGGTGACTCCGCCGCGCCGCACCGCGCTTTAGCGGTGTAGCCGACGCGCCGAGACGCGTCCTCGCGTCAGCACGCGGGCCGTGAGTCTTGTGGAGTGGAGTGTTGTGACTGCCGCACGACGTGATGCACAATTTTAAACCGGCGTGACGTTTTGCATAAAATTGTGCAGAAATTCGCCTAAATTTACGCATGTTCACGCATGATATTATGCACATTCCTCGCATGCACAAAATCGTGCAAGTGGCACGTACAAAGGGACGCGTGGCAGGTGGTTCCCTGCCTGTCGCCGGCTCGGCTTAAAGTGGCGGGAAAATGCGGCAGTTGCTTTCGGTTTCGCCCTGTGGCGTACAGTGGGCCAGAGGACCGGTGGATGCGGCCACAATCCTAGACGCGTTTTGAGCTTCAGAGTCGCTAAATGAGACTCAAACCGAACGTGTGACCCCACCAATGGATTGCTCTTCGAACGAGGAATCCATTGGGGTCACACGTTCGGTTCGAGTCCCCTTTAGCGACTCTGGAGCTCAAAACGCGTCTAGAATTTTTGCCGCCTGCGCCGGTGGCCGTTTCTGGCCCACTGTGAGGCGCCGCACGGGCAATGCGAGTGACAGGGGAGTCCGTCCGGAGCGGTGTTCGAACCCGGGGCTGTCGCTGGCACTTTAGTGTTGTCGACTGGGACCTTTAGGTGGGCCAACCGGTTCCGTTTCCCCCGCAGACGATCCGAACCCTTTTCCACGAGTGTCGGTCCGTCCTTCGGCCGGTCGGCCGCGTCTTCGGGTCTGCCTTCGGGTCTGCCTTCGGGTCTGCCTTCGGGTCTGCCTTCGGGTCTGCCTTCGGGTCTGCCTTCGGGTCTGCCTTCGGGTCTGCCTTCGGGTCTGCCTTCGGGTCTGCCTTCGGGTCTGCCTTCGGGTCTGCCTTCGGGTCTGCCTTCGGGTCTGCCTTCGGGTCTGCCTTCCGGTCTGCCTTCGGGTCTGCCTTCCGGTCTGCCTTCGGGTCTGCCTTCGGGTCTGCCTTCGGGTCTGCCCCCGGGTCTGCCTTCGGGTCTGCCTTCGGGTCTGCCCCCGGGTCTGCCTTCGGGTCTGCCTTCCGGCCTCCCGGCTACAATGCTCGTCGCGCTCGTCACCCGAGGGACTCGACTTGGGGGTTGGGTCGGGAAGCAAGGAGCTCCTGCAGACAAGCATCGTGTCCGTCACGCTCTCTCTCGCTTCTAGCCGGGACGCCCCATGAGTGTGAGAGAGACAGAGCGTCGAAAACGACTCTCGGAATCACTCTCCAGCCGTGTGTGCTGCCATCAAAACAAAAGCCGGTCCACAGTGGGCCAGAAGACCGGTGGAGGCGATCAAAACTCTAGACGCGTTTTGAGCTGCAGAGTCGCTAAATGGAACTCGAACCGAACGTGTGACCCCATCGATGGATTGCTCTCCGAACGAGGAATCCATTGGTGGGGTCACACGTTCGGTTCGAGTCCCATTTAGCGACTCTGGAGCTCAAAACGCGTCTGGAGTTTTGGCCGCCCGCGCCGGTCTTCTGGCCCACTGTGCGGTCCCCTCCCCAGCAGAGGTGACGTGAGTGGCGCCGTTACACTGTTATTACTCCATTACAGTGCTATTACACTCATTGATGGCGGGCGAGATAACCCCGCCGCCTCGGCAGTCAGGTTGATTCCGTCCGGGAAGCCGTTTCGCCGCCGGTTCGCCGCTCTGTCTCTGTCGCACTCATGAGGCGTCCCGTAGGGGTGCGAGAGAGACAGCGCGACGAAAGCGACTCTCCGGAATCGCTCGGCTGGAGTGTCTGCTGGGAAGCGCGGGGAGCTGCCGGGAGCCTTACGGCACCACAGCACTATAATAAATCGACAATTTTCGGTTACTTTCATTGGGAATTTACTCAGGGCTAATTATTCCGCTTAATCAAGTGAAGTAATAGAAATCGGCTTGATGTTCGATTCCAATTTACAGTGCGGTAGCAGTGGCCGTCTCCCATGTTGACGGGCTCGGCAACCAACACTGCGCCGCTGCAACGAACGCCTCAAAGTTGTTTATTCCAGTGGCGAAGTGACGGGGCGCTCGGCAAAAGCGCATCAGGGCAACTCGTTTAGAGCCGAGCACGGACCGAGCTGGGACGAGAGAGAGTGAGAGAGAGAGAGAGAGAGAGAGAGAGAGGGAGGGAGAGAGAGAGAGAGAGAGAGAGGGGGGGGGGGAGGGAGGGAGAGGGAGACACTCGGGGTGAACCGAAACAGTATTCTGTCGTGCATTTCCCGCCATTTCGTTCCCGCCGCTTTTTTCCCGCCATTTCTTTCCCGCCGCTTCTTTCCCGCCATTTTTTTTTGCCCCGCGCCCCCCAAAGTGAAATTCGAATTTAGTTCCCGAGTGGCGCGGAGCAGACGATGCCCGTGGCGTCCGCGGTGAGCTGCGTCATCGCCGTCCTCGCCGTCCTCGTGGTCCGCGCCGCCGAGATCGGCTAGAGAATGTGACGGACAGAGCAAGTGACGATGTAACCGCAAGACCGCTTCCGCAAGAACATGCTGGAAGTCCTCGCCAGCGTGTCCCACTTTGCCGGTAAGTCAGCACAGCCGACTGAGAGCCGTTCTCGTCGCTCTGTCTCTCTCGCACCTGTGGGCGCGATATGAGTGCGAGGGAGACAGAGCGACGAAAGTGACGGAATCGGTGAGAAGTAGTCCGTCCAAAAAGGAGGGGTCTTAATTTGACCGACCGTGATATCGCTTCGTACCGTCCACTTAAGAAAAATGACGGTAAATCCAAATTTTTCCAAACTGGGTACTTTCCAAACCAGGATCCTCCGTACAGTGGAAGTTTTCTTTCCTCTTGTTTACAGAATTCCTAGTCTTAACATAGTTGGCTTTTGTACATCCATAAGGTAGGAAAGAACCATCTGGTCCCAATAAGGTCGTTCCAAGAAGTGCACATCAGGATCTTGAAAAAGGGACGACCGACGAAAATTTATTGCACCTCAATAGGCTCGTCAAGACTTTCCCCGAGGGTTTTCTCGAAGAGTCCAGGAGTCCGACTTCGAAGTGCGTACATCAGGAATGGAAAAAAGGGTCAATCGACCGAACAAAATTATAGGTCTTTGGAGGTATTAAAGCCCGGGTTGCGGGTAAAAGTACGGGCTACCTGTTAAAAAGACGGCGTTACCGCGAAAATAGTACGGTATTTTCCTGTAAAAAAAACGCGGCATTCCTGTTAAAAAAAGTACGGTGAATCTGGAGTAATCAGTACGGATTTGCGTGATCTTTGCTCGCAGTGTCGAACAGGTTAGGTTAGAT